GAAGAAGAGAAGGAGGCGCAGGAGGAGGTGCAGGAGGAGGTGGAGGAGACAGGTGAGAAGCGTGAGGAGGGGTGGCCAGCCCTGCGGCCGGCGGGAGAATGAGGAAGGAGAGTCGCCGTCCTGCTGCTGGCTGTGATAGGGGAGCTGCAGGAGGGGGGGGGAGGTGGGTGCAGCTGCTGCGGCTCTCTCTCATCCTGTTGACCCTGCTGTCCCTCGTGCTCTCTGCGGCGGCGAGGGCGACGGGGCGGGCGGGCGTCGGCCCGGCCTGTGCTGACGCTACGAGATTTCGCTCCGCGGCTGGCCTGACAAGAAAGAAGCAAAGAGAAGAAGGTCGCTGTTGAATCCGTCTGAATTTTCGGCGATGACACGGGCTGCCTGGGGTGGGCGGGGGGGGGAGGTGCCTGTTCGCTCTGGGCAGCCCCACGTGCGCCCGCGCGCACCAGCACTGCACGCCCCCTTTCGATCCTGCGCGCCCGACAAGGTCGGGTTATCGGGGATGGGGGGGGGGGGGGGGCGAGCCCGACAACCCGGGTGATCGCCAGACCCACCAACAAAAAATCTGAAGGCAGGGGGGGAATTGGACTCAAAGACTCAAGACTTACGTGTCTGTGCGGAGAGCTCCGTCCCTTGACGTGCGTGGAAAAAGACGGGTGCAACAAATTAGGGTGAAAGCTGATCGTCTTGGCTCGCAGAGATGGCACGCGCCCCTACACCCGACGTGTTTTTCCAAACAAGAGTGTTCACTTCATGGTGTCTGATTCAGCCCTGGCAGGGCAACGACCACTACGACAGGCCGATATCTTCCTTCAAACTGGTACGATGAAGGCATTGGAAATGTAAACGTTGGATAATGAATCCAGGGTCTGGAAGCTGGTGGAACTCCAATTGAACGACAAAAAAGAAGGGTCTTACGTGAGATGGCATAGCGACCTTACGCGGTGGCTTCCGCGGGCCGCCGTCGCGGCACGCTCTATTGGAGACGAGGGCGCTTACGCGCGACCTCACGCGAGCAGCTTACGCGCCAACTTCGACGCAGACGGCCCCTTTCTTTCGCGTCGCTCAAGTGAGGCCATGGATATCACCACCGCCTTCATCAGATAAGGAATCCTGCAGGGTCTGAAGCCTCATGGGCACGTTCCCTATCGAACGCCCCCCGCCAATACGCGATCAAAAAGGGTAAAAACGGCATATATACACATAAATTGTCGGATCTCCGCGCGGATATGTTGGATCGGCGATCCGACGTCTTTGCTTCTTCGAGCTCCAAGAAAAACGCCCAGCCCTCGAACCGCTTCTCGCCCTTCACGCCGTCTCTGGCGCGCCGCCAGAATATAGATCCAACGTGCTCTGCGTGCACGATCGATTTCGCAAATTCTTTCTTGGTGCTTGAAACTATTCCTGGTCGTCAAGGATCATGTAGGCTGGAACATCCTAACTCTTGGCTCGGAAGAGGAGGGCGCGGAGGGCGAGGAGCCCAAGACCGGGAGGGCGAGGAGGGCGAGGAGAGCTCCCCTGATATCCGACGTTGTAGAAACATGAAACATTGCAAAAAATCACGCCTGGACCCCAGCACCCGATCTTTCTGCGTTTTCGAGCCAGATCGATCTGCGAGGGTCCCGGGGACCGCGGTCGAGCGAAAACGCCCGCTGTGAAAAAAATGCAACGCCAGGATCTCAGGGTCCCTCCTTGGGATCCCAGCGGCGCATTTTTGTCATGCGGGGCCTTTCCTGCCCGGCTTCGGGCCCCGACACCTGGCTCGAGGAGTGCCGCAGACCGGTGGGGGTCCGTAGCTCCGGTCGTGTCTTTTCGCAGTGCGATCGGAGGCGACGACAGCGGCGGATAGGATAGCCCAGGGGCTTAGGGTCCTAGGGTCTTGGCTCGGAAGAGGAGGGCGCGGAGGGCGATGAGTCCAAGGCGGGGAGGGTGACGAGGGCTCCTGCTGGCGGTGCGCACAGGGGCACCCTGCTTCTTGGAAGGCCCCGGCCTTGCGTCTGCAGCCAAGGCCCGCGCCCCTTCGAAGAAGGAGGGGTCGCTTCTGCGAAGCCCTCCCCCCTCCCCCACACCCCCCTCTGTGCGTGGCCGATGTAGGCTGGAGCATCATAACTCTTGCCTCGGAAGGTGGAGGAGGAGGAGGAGGAGGAGGAGGAGGAGGAGGAGGTGGAGGAGGAATGACTTGTGGAGGTGGAGGAGGAGGAGGAGGAGGAGAGGAGAGAAGGGGATGAGGAGGAGGAGTAGAGGAGGAGGAATGATGATGATGCTGATGATGATTGATGATATGTGAGGAGGAGGAGGAGGAGGAGGAGGGAGGAGGAGAAGGAGGAGGAGGAGGAGGAGGAGGAGAAGGACGAGGAGGAGGAGAGGGCGCGGAAGGCGAGGAGGCCAAGGTTGGGCAGGCGGCGATGGGCTCCTGGCTCGGCCTGCGCCGCCGCGCCGGCATCGGCCCACGGCGCCGCGCCGAGCGCGGCGGCGGGCGGCCCGCCTGCGGCCCAGGCGCCCTCCTTCGGGGGGGGGGGGGGGGGGGGTGCGTGGGCCGCCTTGAGATACTGCGTCACATTTTTTTTTCGAAGCCGTTCCTCCTCCTCCTCCTCCTCCCTCTACTCCTCCTCCTCCTTCCTCTCCTCTTTCTCCTCTCTTCCACCTGCCCCTTCTCCTCCTCCTCCTACTCCTCTCCTCCTCCTTCCCCCCTCCTCCCCCTCCTCCTCCTCCTCCTCCTCCTTCCTCCTCCTCCTCATTCCTCCTCCTCCTTCCTCCTCCTCAGGGATGGTGGTGGTGAGGATGACGGGGATGATGATGATAATGACGATGCTGACGGTGCTGATGCCGATGATTATGGTGACGATGATGACGATGGTGAAGATGACGATGGTGGTGATGATGATGATGCTGATGGTGGCCAGGTACGAAGCTTACATGGGGTTCCAGAGCGGTGCCACACTGACTGCACTGGGTCCCGGGCGGCCCCACCGAGGGCCCAACAGCGGCCCGCTAACGCACCGCAGCCACGCAGCCTGCAAGCTACGTGCGCCGCCGGCTTCGCCGTGAAGGTGGCTGCCGCCCGGCCCCCTTCCGCCAGGGCCCCGGGCGCCCCCTTGGGGCTGCGTCGTGCCCCTCCTGCGGGGGCGCGCACGGGTGGAACGGCAGGGCCGGGGCAGTCCACAACTTCAAGGAAGCATGCCGGGCTGCGACTTGGTCGGCTCGGGCACCGCGCCCGTGCGCCCCAAAAAATGCATCCGCGGAAGTCTCTTCGCCGCTCTCCCGAACGCCCACGGCGGCAAGGGCCACTGTGCCCAAAGTGGACCCCCTAACATTAAGTCGAGCATGTCCCTCTACAGGAGGAATCTTCAAAAATAGCAAAAAGAAAGCAGGGGACGTTTTTTACTATTGTTGGCTATGTCTGAATATGTTTGACTCTCTCTCTCTCTCTGCATTTCTCTTCCAAAATCCGCCTGTAGGAGGACCTGCCCGACCTACCCCTAGCAGCAGTGGCCAGCTTGGCAGCGACCGCAGCATCTCGGATCGCCGCGGCCACCTCGGGCAGCTGCATCCGGCGGCGCCTCGGGCGGGGGACGAGCACGCAGGCCCGCCGAGCGGGCCCGCCGCTCCACCGCGAGAAACTGGCTCGCCCGCTGTCCGTGGCGCGCACGGCCTCTGCAGACGCCCCGCCTCTGGAGACGTCCGGCAACGCTGGCAGTGCGACGAAAGGCATGTCCCGAGCCTCCACACTCACTCACTCACTCACTCACTCACTCACTCACTCACTCACTCGCTCACTCACTCACTCACTCACTCACTCACTCACTCACTCACTCACTCACTCACTCACTCACTCTCATGGCGGTCGAAGGGAGCTCCTGCAGCCATGCACACCTTTCCTGCCCCTCCCACCCGGCAAAGACCTACATAGGTGGGAGGAGCCTCCACACGGTTGGCCTCCGCGCCCGGCCATGGAGGGTGCGGCCGCACACGACGCGCGCCGTGCCGCGAGGACCGGCAGCCCGAGCTAGGCGGCTGGGTGCAACGGCAGCCCCAACGCCTCCACCGACCGAAGGCGGCGGCGGCAGCCATGCGCCAGCAGCAGCGTCCGATGGGGCAGTGCCAACCTCAGCGTCGTCCAGCGCAGCAGCCTCCTCCAGCGCCGTCGCCACAGCTGGCGGGTCCTGGGCCCCAGGCGGCGTCAGCGGGGCCACCTCCAGGCGCTGCTCCCACAACCAATCTGCGGCAGCTTCCTTACCTTCCCCACCGCCTCCAACTCCTCCTGCTCCCCAGCGAGTGAATACGGCAGATCGGCGCCAGCAGTAAGCTCCTCCTCCAGCGCGAGCCGCTGCCGGTGCGAGCCGCGCGCCTCCGGCAGCACCAGCGGCTTCCGCGCCTCCTCCTCCTCCTCCTCCTCCTCCTCCTCCTCCTCCTCCTTGGCCTCGACCGCCATCTCCTCCTCCAGCTCCAGCGGTTGATGTAACGGCGCACGCCCGACACATCAGCGCACAGCACGGCCCGCGCGAGAATGCCCAGCCGCCACGTCCCAAACCTCCACCGCATGTATCACGGCGGAGGCCACCCTCCGAGCGTTCCGGCTTCAGGACACCGTGGCAACCCAGACGCGCGGCGGCGGCGCCACCGCCGCTCCCGCCCGCAGCAGCTCCAGCTCCTCCTGCAGGCGCCTCCTCGGGCTCGGGAGCCGCCGGCAGCGCGCCGGCGGCCGCAGGCTCACCCGAGGATGGGCTGGCGCCCCCCCGAGCTCGGGTCTCCTCCGCCCTCTCCAGCCGCACCTCGTCCTGCTGCACCTCCTCCAGCTGCCCCGCCTCCCTGGTCTCGGCTGCGGGGCACCAGCAGCAGCCTCTCCCGAGGATGGGCTGGCCCGCAGGGGCGAGGCGGGCGGCGCGGGGATCTGCGCCTCCAGGCCATCCTGGAGCGGGTCCTGCCGGCAAATGCGCTCCGCGAGTCGCAGGCGCAGGGGGGCTCGCTCGGGACTCGGCGCGACTCCTGGGATCGGGCAGCTCGGCGCGGCGTCCTCGCTCTGTGCCTCCCCGGCCTCGTCGCCGCCCCCTCCTCCAGCACCCCCCGCGCTTCCTGCGCCTCCTCCCGCAGCTCCTGTGGCGCCGCCTCCTGCTGCTCCTCCAGCGGCCGCACCCCTGCCGGCCGCAGCGTACATGGCATCCAGGCCTTGGGAGGGCTGCCTCGATGGAACGGTTGGCATCGAGTGTCGCCTGCAGCCGAGGCCGACTGGGGACCGCCGGAGGGCCAGGGTGCGGGTGGATACCCTCCTCACTGACGATGATGATGATGATGATGATGATGATGATGATGATGATGATGATGATGATGATGATGATGATGATGATGATGATGATGATGATGTATGATGATGATGATGATGATGATGATGATGTATGATGATGATGATGATGATGATGATGATGATGATGGAGAGGTGGAATGCTATGGTGATTGATGGGTGTTTGATGATGGTGATGATATGATGATGACATGAAATGGTTTGGTGCTCTGTTGATGATGAGACGGTGCCGAGCGTTTGATGATGACGATGATGATGATGATGATGATGATGATGATGATGGTGATGGTGATTATGATTGTGATGGTGATGATGATGCTGAAAATGGTGATGATGATGATGATGCTGATGACGATGATGGTGATGATGACGATGATTGTGATGATGATAATGATGATGATGATGATGATGATGATGATGATGATGATGATGATGATGATGATGATGGTGGTGATGATGATGATGATGATGATGATGATGATGATGATGATGATGATGATGATGATGATGATGATGATGATGATGATGATGATGATGGTGGTGATGAACAGGAGCAGGAGGGAAGGAGGAGGAGACGGATGAAGAGGAGCGTGCCTAAACGGACAAGAACTCTCGCGTTGCCTCCACGCGGGCAGGGGGGCGCCAGAGGCGCGTCCAAGACCAACCATGCCTGAGAGCATCGCCAAGCAGAGCATCGCCAAGCAGGGCCTGCATCAGGCCTGGACAGAAGGGGAGCAGGAGGAGAGCAAACACAGCGCGCCACGGATTCTGCAGTAGATGCGATCGGGCACTTTTGCTTGGCGTATCGCCGCGGCGGCGGCAGATCGCATCGATACCCCTCTTCACGCAAGTGCTTTAGACTGCCTTCCAACCCACCCCCACCCAGCCCGAAGCCGCCGTTGGGCACGTCAATTTCCAGTGGGGGGACATTGTGGAACACAGAACCAAGCACAGTGGAACCCGCCATCCTCCTCCTCCTCCTCCTCCTCCTCCTCCTCCTCCTCCTCCTCCTCCTCCTCCTCCTCCCCTCAGCCCGAAATTTGGGGGGGTCTGGGGCCTTCCGGTTCGATTCGGTGGGGGCGGCCTAATAAGAAAAGATTTTGCGAGTGAAGGATCTGGCGCCGCTGCCTCTCACACCCAGCAGAAACGAGCATCACCAAGGCCCTGGCCCTCTCACTACTTTTGTTTTCCACCCCCAAAACCACGTGATGTTCCTTTTGGAACGGCCAGGGTCGCTTGTCGCCCAGACAAGCAGGATGTCCAATGCCGCGAGGGCACTTTCCGTCAATGCGCCCATGGCCTGACAGCGGGTCGCCCACGACGGGGCCCCAGGCCCAGGACTCCAGGCCGAGCGGCCCGCGGAAGCGCCACCGCTCCCGCCCCCCCCACGCCTCAAGACCAACCGCGCGTGGGCTTGCACTCACCCTCCCCAGACCTCGGATGTCTCGACGCCGTAACAACGTTTCTCGGCGGCGCGTCCGGGGGGAAACGAGAAGGGGCGGGCCTTCTCAGAAGGCTCGGAAGTTCGCCGAGCTTCCGAAAGGTTTTTGAAACCTTCCCCGAAAACAACAAAAAAAACCTCAGAAGGCGCGAAAGCTTCTGAGAAGTCCCGCCGTCTTCTGAAAAAGCCTTTTCCTTCTCACTTCCCCCCCTCGCTCGCCGCCGAGTTTCGCCGCAGGGTCCGAGTTTTGGGGCCAAAAACCACAGAAGAGCCCCACAGTGAGCGCATGAAAAACGCCCCCCGCCCCCCACACGAGGAACTTTAGACCAATGGGGCCGTCAAGCGACGCGCGAACTGCAAGCTGAAACTGCTCGACGGTCAGCCAACGACAACGCCGCGCAATTCAATGCGAACGGCGCGCTGCTGCTATGCTCATTGGCGTTTGAAGTTGGCGTTTGCTTGTGCCGGCACGCGGTCAATGCGACAGGGGAGACGGGGAGCCCTGGACCGCCTGCTCCGGCAGCCATTCCGCAGGAAGCTTCTTCACAAGCTGTTCCGGCATCGTGCTCTCGCCTCAATATGCTGGCTACACTGCTGGCCCGGACGGTCGCGACCCCTTGCAGACCATACGCCAGCTGCACATGGCCGTGCGCTTCCGGAACGCATCGGAAAGCACTTTTGCGTCGGCGGCTAGGCAGGGTAACTGCGCTGGCGGAAGGCTACCTAAACGGGGGTACCATTGCAGCGAATTGCGCCACCATGCAGG